TTTGTATGAATGGTTTTTAGAAAGCTGAGACTTTGCCTTCTGCTAGTCAAATATCTAATTTTATGAATTCAACACAGGATTCTAGACAGTAAAATGGGTCAAATTTCTGTTAACTTCAATAAAAAAGAGATTTTTGTCAGGAGAAGTAAAGCCAATGCCTTCAACTCTTAACATGATTATTTGGTAGTTAGTTGTTAGAGATAGGCAGGCTCTTTGAGTACTTTAATGTCTTATTTTCACACTGACTGGTCTGGGTGGATCTTTCCTTGCAGCATCACTGATTCCTCAAATGCTCAGATGCACTTTTTGTATTCAGGCAATTTTGCACTGAGAACGGTATCTTAGTGTTTGTTTGGTGTGTTAGCATTTAGAATTTCTTTCACTTTATAACTACCTATATATTGGTATATCAAGTAATTTCTCTGCATCTTCCAGTTTTTTAATGAAAACTAAATTCAATACTGAGCTCTACACATCCTACTTTATTTCTTTTTTATAATTTTTCTTTTGTTTTCAGTGCTTCATTTAGATTTCAGGTCAGTTGTTTATTACTTCTTCCATGCTAACTTGAAACAGTTATTTCAAGTAAAACATAATGCATTGCTGAAATTCAGGTGGTATTGCAGTATAAGACAGTAACATGAACAAATTATTAATAGGCATCAAGTAGTGCTGCTTTTTCACTTTCTGCTGCAAAGTTCCCAAAGGAATTTTGAAACTGGAGCTATAGGATGCAGCCAGATGCATCTGGGAGATCTTGATCTATGCTGATACTCATGTGCAGCAGCAGCAGACAGAAATTACAGAAGAATTCTAGTCAGCCATCTTATCCTCATTTGCTTGCACTGCAAGATAAGCAGGCTTCTTATGAAATCCTGGACTATGGCCACCTGCCTGTTATTCCCATCCAGCCAAAAGGAAAGAGACTCAAGGGAGGCTTCTGGCCAGAAGCAGTGGTAGTTCAATGTGTATCCAAATGTGAGAAAGATACAAATGGCCAAGACACAAGAATACATGTTTTCATTTGCAGATGAGGTGAAACTCAGATCTTTTAGTGCTGTGGTTCAGTGGGTCTAACTGGGAGGTGAGCCCTGAGCATGGGAGCATGGCTGGCTCAGCCAAGACTTTAGTGGGCCTTTGGTACCCACAAATGAGGGCAGTTCTCTGCTTGTGCTTGTACCTCTTTCTGTAGCATTTAAAAATGCACTCAAGAGCAATCATCACAAGGCAGGAAAACTTTAAGCACCAGAACTGATGAATTCATTGGTAAAGGGAGTAGGAAGAAAAAGGAAGTGAGGAACTTCTCTTTGGGAAGAGATCTACCATTTTGTAATCCTTGTTTTGTACCTTGAACAAACTGGATTTGTGCCTAGGACTCATGGCCACTATTTTATCTGCAAGAGTAACAGAAGGAAAGGGAATGTATGTACATGTTTTAGATTTCTAATTTGTTGCATTTCATTTATCCATTTTCCCCAAGCTGAGAAACACAAGTAGTTTAAATGCAGCAACTGTGGTGACACCAGGAAGTAATTATTTCAGGAAGCTTGCAAAAGTGCCCTTATTAAACAAATTGAGGTAGGTTGGTTTTGTTTAAGTAAAACAATAAGAAAAGAATTGGAAAAGTGCCACCTTTGTAGGATGCAGTACAAGATACAAGTAAAGAAAAAAATTATTATAATGTCCCCAGTAAGGAGACTTTTGTCTCCTGGAAGAAGAAAAAAACATGCAAAACCTTGGGGTTTGTGTCCCTTTTGGGGAACAATTCTCCTTCAGAGTTGCTGTTATTTTAAGATTTTTTTGTTTGTTTGTTTTTATATCACCACTTTACAGTATTTTGAAAGGGGAATATATGTCTGAAAGGTTTATTTCATAGAAAAGCCAAAGAAAAAACTGCATCAGCAAATGGCTTATTGTTGTGTTAAAAAAAAAGTATGTGATCTACATTGAACATTGTGAAAATCTGAGATCTGTCTACCAGATCAGTCCTAGTGAAAGTCCTAGTCCTGCAGAAAATGGACTGAGGTGGCTGTAAATCAGGCCCTCTTTCATTCCAGATACATCTGTGCAGTGTGGGGTGAAGAATAGGATGGAAAGAGGACAAACTTCCAGTATATCTTCAGTAACTGGTTCATTTAAGGTACTTCATATTTGAGGTATAGATTTTTCTTGTTTTTCTCTCTCTCTTATCTATTAATAGCCAAAAAAAAAAAAAAAAGCCCATCTAAAAGTAGCTTTTGAACAGAAACAAATTCTAGGAAGAAAATAAATGACTAGGACAATGTAGGAGGCTGAAGAAGGTTGTTAAGGAGTATTTGGAGACTAGGAAAGTGAATGTGCAAATATTTCTGCCTTCCGCTGTAGAAAGACTGTGCTGACCATGAATTTTTGCTTTGAATCTGTTTACCTCTTCCCTTCTCTCAAGCATGTAATTCCTTGTAGAGAACTACTTTTCTGGAATTTAGTTATATGGATTCTTCTCCATTTGGAAGGATGTTGCTCAGTTAATTACATGAGATATAGTAGACAAACCAGTATATTTTCAGTAAAATTTGGTTCTAATATTCTGCTATATTATCCTATGACTTAGAAACAACTTAAAACTGTAGTGTATGTTTTTCAGATATTTAGAACTTCAGTCATCACCTTTAAAGCATATATATTGTTTGGATGTAAATTTTGGATTAAGGAATGTTGGATTGCTCCTATTAACCATGTAAAAAAGATTAGATCAATTTGAGCCTGAAGCATTTCTTGCTATTTATTAATCAGAAGAGTGCTTGTTTTTCTGTATCTCTGCAAAGGCATCCCAACTGTTTGTGTTCCTTTCAGGATGCTGTACCACTGATCCTGGCTGGAGGCAGCTGAAGTGGGAACGTGGATAATGTAGTGAAGATGGTTTTCTGTTTCTTTTATCTATTTTGCTTTTCTGCTTTCTGCATTTGCTTCAGTGTTATGGTTGTTGTCAGCCTGAGAGTGGATAGCTTGTGGGCACACAATTCTTACTCACTTATCTGAGTTCAGTCACATAAAAATATATTTCTATGTAAAAGTGTTTATTGTAGTCTTGATCAAAGTGCTCTATTTTCATTTTGATGGATGATGATATCCAAATGATCACAGTGCAAACTGTTAGTTTCAGTCCCTTTTGATTTAAATTAGGAATGAAATTCTCTCTAACTCTGCCTGGTTGCAAGCAGTCTGATACTTTGATAGCACGTTTGTGTTGCAACCTGCCCTCTCCTCCAGCTGCTCAGGCCTAAAACACCCAAATGTTGTTCTTAGGAGGCAGATGTACCTGCTACTGGTGGTCCAGTGTTTGGGCTGAGGCTGTTAAACAGCAAATTCACATTTCCTGAGAAATGGGAGCTGTGTGGCTCCCAGGTGGCCATGGAGCAGGAGAGACCTGTTGGGAGGAGGCACTACTGAGGCAACTCAACCAAATAAGAATATTTTAAAGATTTAAAGCTCAGCTGCACTGTCATCAGTCCTTTGGAAAGAGGAGCTCTTTTGATTCATGCAGAACTGCTTGCTGCTAACTGCATCTTGTTAAAATGTCTTTGACACGTTTGTCAGCTCTTTCTCATTGATCAGACCCGGGAGCCTATTTGGTTTGCCAGCCCAGATAATGAATGCAGAGGGCTGAAAACTAAGCCAGGTGCAACTATGTGCATCTTTAAGATGCTGTTGACCTTGAGCAACCTTCTAACGAGGTAACAAGTGATACCTGTCTTATCCCATCACCTGCTGGACAGTGGCACAGGTGTTACAGATCATGGAGCTGGATTCTACATTTTGGGCCATGATTCTCTTTGTCTTTCTTGTTGTGTGCAATGCAAATAGTGAGCTGTCCTGTGGCATGTTCTACAGCCAGTAGCTCCTCAGGAAAATGCCTGGAATAGCAGACCTACTGCCTGTTTAAAGAAAGAAAAAAAGTGAATTAGTATATTGACCTTACTGAAGCATGCAAAACACTTGATAGGACTCAATTTCTGAAATTAATTACCATAATGTGTGTATTAATTCTTTCACAAATTATTAAAAGGATTTGTGGGATTATTCTGAGCTCAGAAATAAATGTCGAGGTTTTAATTGAGGAGGTGTGGAAATCAGCAATAGTTATGGACTGTTTGAATAACAGTTAGTGTTTTGCTCTTGGAAGGCTTTCTTACCCTGGACTGTATGTTGTGGTTTTTCCCCCCCTCACATAATAATAGTACCTTTAAAGAGTTCTCTGGTTTAAAAAAAAAACCCCAAAATGAAAAATGAAAAAACACCAACATGTTTTAATAGAGGAAAAACCCCGATTTTTGTATCCTTTTAAGCAATTATTTTTTTTGAGAAATTAAGTTTCCAGCACTGGTTCAAAAATCAAAAAGAAGTAACAGCTTTTGAGTTTTAGACGATATTGTGAACTCTGGTGTTTGTTGTCTGGTTATGGAGTTTGTCACACTCAGTAACTTAAAATCACTTGCTTTTTTTTAAATTTTAAGTTGTCTTAATGCTTGTTGCAAATTATTACATACTTGTAAGCATTATTTAAAGTGCTAATAAAATTGAAGTAATTGCAAAGTACTTTAGGGGAGAACAGATGGGGAAACAATGCTATGCCATGATGTGTTCTCTATCGTTTCTAGAAGTCGCTGAGAGCATTTTGCTTGAACCTCTTCTGAGCGCTCTGCTGTTTGCTCAGTGAAAGGACAAAGGACTGACAAGAAGACGGAACACTGCGCCGCTATCTACACCTGCCTGTCAGAGCTGCCGTGCGTGTCGCAGGTGCTGTGTTTAGGCCGTCACCGGCGAGCAGACGAGACGAACACGCTCAGGGCCGGCCGTAGGAGCTGCCCGGCGCGGCGGGACGGCGGCGGCCAGCGCCCCTCGCTCACCCTCCAGCGGGGCCAGGGCGGGCTGGGCGGGCTCGGGGCGCGGCCAGGGGCGGTGGGAGCCGCCGGAGCCGCCTCCCGGGGCGGCCGCGGGGCGGGACGGGCCAGCCGCGGTAGCGGCGGCGGCGGGAGGGCGCAGCAGGGGCCGCCGCGGCCGCAGCATCGCGGCGCGGTGGCGGGGATGGAGCCCTGGAAGCAGTGCGGGCAGTGGCTGATCAGCTGCAAGGTGCTGCCGCCCAACCACCGGGTGACCTGGGACACGGCCCAGGTCTTCGACCTGGCGCAGACGCTGCGCGACGGCGTCCTGCTCTGCCAGCTGCTCAACAACCTCCGCAGCCACTCCATCAACCTCAAGGAGATCAACCTGCGCCCTCAGATGTCCCAGGTGAGGCCGCTTCCCCAGCCCGTGGCCTCTGCCCCTGTCTGGGGTCTCCGCGTGCTTTGCCTTGCGACTTGCGGCGGCGCGGAGCGGGACCCGCGGGCTCTGCCTGCCTGCAGCCCGGAGCTTCCGCGCCTGCCGGGCGCTGAGCGTGAGTGGAGCCCGGGCGGTCCCCGCCGGGCACCTTCCCTGCGCCGTGCGGCCGCCCCAGCCCGGGCTCAGCGCGTCCCTTGCCGGGTGCTGGGACGGGCGCAGCTGCAGCGCCGGGCTGGCGGCTCCCGAAGCCCCCGTGAGGGCTCGTCGCCCGCAGCGGGAGGCGGCTCGGGCGGGAGTCCCCCGGGCCGTGCCAGGGAGAAGTTCCTGCAGTAGTCCCAGGGTCACCATTTTAATCTTTGTGCGTTACTGTTTAATAGGAGCGGGTTACAAATCAAAGGACCTCTTGCTTCTAGTTTTTCTGGCTATTCCTAGGTGGGGAGGGAGGAAGGGCGGCAGAGGATGCCGGGCCGGGCCGGCATGGCCGGGGAGCTGAGCCCGCCCGGAGCGGCGAAGGCAGGGCAGGGGCTGTGGTAAGCGGCGGGTGAAGAAGCCCTGGGTAGCGCCAGTCAGATGCTCGTCCCAGCCTTTTGGGACTTACAGTGGCGAGATGAAGGAGAGGACTGATTAGTAACGAGAAATCATGATCTTGATAGCTGGCTGCCTGTGTAGTACTATTTATTTATTTATTTATTTCTGGCTTTTTGGTATTTTGAATCATTATTTAATGCTTAAGTGTAATTCCTAATTCTGCCCTGTTTTAAATGGGGTTCTTAGTTTGGACTGACGTTTTGTTACTGTAACTCATAAAGTTGGCTTCAGATATCGAGATAAGATTGTATTAATAATTCAAGAAGACACTATATATACTTCCTGTCACTGCTTTGTGCACACCTATGCCTCGGCAGAGATGGTGGTACCCAAGCAGATGTTGTTTGGAAGGAAACTAACTTCTGAGCCTGTCATGCATTTTAAAACATTGAGAAACAGATACACTGTAACATTTCAGTGTTGTGGTTCTCTTTTTGTTTTATAGTAATATAAATTGCCATTCACATTTATGATGCTAGAAAAATCAATGGAGTGAATTATACTACTTTGTCCATGTCTCTGTCAATGTTTGCTTACAAACCTAATTATTTTATTTCTAATTAATTCTCTCTTTTAGCAGCTAAATCTTACTACCAAGGCAGCATTTTCTGGAAGCTTGTAGTGCAAAAAGGAAAAATGTAGTTCAGCAAGTCAAAGCTCTGAGACTGTTGCACTAGATGTGCATGGTACAAAGGCTATCTCCGTGTACTTGAGAGCTCACGTGCCTGCTTGAATGGCATATGCAGAGGCAATACTTCATCTGAGTGATGGAGCACAAAGGGTGGGCTCCTCTGAGAGGTAGAAATCCAGTTCAGCTTTTTCTCTGCACCATTACAACTTGTGACTTTCAGCACTTGCTAAACCAGAGCCTTGGATTATATTTGTGGTTTTTTTTTTTTTATAAATAAACTAGAAATGTGTCATCATTTTGAGGTAGCCAGTTTATTGCATCAGCTTGAATTCTAGATTAATGTTGATTATCTGAACCACTATTACTTAATTTTATTTTTGATGAATTAAACCCATGGTGCTCTCCTTCTGTCTACTGAATCAAAGTTATCAAAGTGCTCTGTTATCTTCTTTATTAGAGCAGTTTTGGGAATCAAGATTAATTCTCTAAGTATGTTGGAACTACAGATTATAATTGTAGATCTTGGATTATTTACAAGAGTTGTCTCTTTGTTGTTTGTCTCTTTGTCTGAGGTACCTGCACTCCACAGGGCTGCAGACAGCTCTCTCCAGTGGTGCATTTCTCTGCCCTACACTGATTTTCCCCTTTAAACAAAGGGAACCGTTGCTGGATCAAAATCTATAATGGATAACTCTACATAGTGTTGAATTTACTGGGAATGCTACTGTTGTGTTCTGTGAGTTCAGGATTCAGTTTTCTTATTGAGGTTCTGTGGGGTTTTTGCAAAGTGGACACCCTTTCTGCTGGAAATGACCACTCAAGTGTTAATTTCAGAAATTATTGAAATGTTGCCAGTTTCTTGTAATTTGTGGCTGAGACTGTAAAGAACTCATAGTAATAACTTCTGGAGAAGTCTCAGTGGCTTGAAGATTATTTACTTGGTGAGATCTGCTTGGAGTTGTGCCCTAAGCTTCGAGTTTTGTTGGTACTTTAGTTTACTTGTCAGTAAACGAATACTGCATCACAAGGTTGCTGTATCATAGGATCTTGGGGTCTTGTAGGAGTGCTAGCTCATCTTTCCTTGTGGGATAATGAATTATAGGCACTGGAGGCAGAGCAGGGTTGGCATTAGGATGGGAATTATCTCGGCCAGGACTGCAGAGTCTGAAACTGTTGCTGTGCCGGTACTGCTTAGCTGAACTGTTTGAACTTCATATGGCCCTTATCCCTCATCTTCTGGAACTGAGCTGCAGCTCCTGTACTCTGATGTTGGTTTTTTCCACTAAGTCTTGGAATGGGTCAGGGGACTCTTACTGCACAGCCCGTAGTCAATACAGAGACTGAGAAGGGTGGATGAAGGCTTCATGAATGGGCCTCATTGAGGGCAGACTGTTTGATTTTGGCCTTGTCTCTTACTGCAGTTGATGTTTGTCAGACCTTTCTCTGTGAACCAAGTTTTCATGTCTTGGGGGCTACTTAAAAATGCAGCAGTTCCAAAGAAGAGGAAGGTGAGATTTGGTGCCTCAGGCAGACCTAGGAGTAGGTGTCTGTCGTCTGATGAAAGTAGCAAGTCTTTTCCATTTCGTTACATATTTATTTTTTTCAGAATAAATGTGGCAGATCACGCATCAGTTATCAGTCAGCTTTGCCAGGTAGCCCTTGGTAACCCTTTATAAGCCACATCAAAAGTATAGAAGGTTTGTGGCTGAAGCTGCAGTGCCTGATGCTGCTTTTTGGTGGAGCTTGATTCAAACAGGAGCACTGTTGCTTTGCTGGGGCAGGAGTAGGAACTGAGATTGATGCTCAGCATTGCAACACCAATGTGCTTGACCAGATGGGCTATGTTTTGTGGGCTGGCTAGCACAGGGAACTACATGATGTTGTCTCATCACCAGCCATGCACCTTGTGTCACAGCTGTTCTCGTGGGTGGGCTGTTTTTTGTGTTTGAGATCTGTGGATTCAGCCCAAAAAGGTATCTTCTGGATACCTTTTTGGAGATAATACCTGTACAAGAGAAATGTCTCGGTGGCTTTAGGCTGTAAAACACTGGGTTTGAACCTTTTGAATGCTGGCTGTTTTCATTACTGTATGTTTATGAAAATATGTATATTTGGTTAGTGGAAGTTGTTCTTTGAAGACCAGAAGCTGATTCAGTCAGTTACACTTTCTAGAAAATGACCCTCAGATATTAAAAGCAAAAACCTTGCATATATAAAAGCTGAGCAGCATTGAGCCTTCTGGATTGTCAGCTCAGTGCTGCCAGGCTCCTGTCTGAAAAGGTGGTGTGAGATCCCCTGTGAAAAATTACGCATGAGCTTTGTATGAGGTTGGAAATTCAGGTTCAGGGATATGCATGTCCAGTGGTTTTTAGTTAGTGTTGTGAAAGTGGTGTTGCAGGCACCAAACACTTCAACACTAGCTTCTGGGAATGGAGCTAGAAGAGGGAATTTGCTAAATGAGTAAGGGTGGTGTGACTTGTGCTGGTGTGTTGCGGGGTTCCTCTGAAGTGGAGCATCAGTCGCTGGTGACAGTGAGACAGAGGATGGAGCACTGAAGCTCAGTCAGTGTCTGTGTCTGCAGAGCTGTTCACTGTAGTCATTCACTTGCCTCAGATGCTGCCTCTTGGCAATGTAGGCTGGTGAAAGTAATAAAAATATAAATGAACCATAACAGAAAGTACTAATCCTAGTGTTTAATCATAATCAGATAAGAATTTATGTAATTTATCACCAGAAATGTAAAACCTAAACCAATGGATTATGATGGATTTGCTGAAGATGTCATCTGTTTAATCTTATCCTTCAATACTTTGCAAGCCAGTTTTGAAACGTTTTTTGCAAGGCATTTAGTTAACTTGTTACAGATTGCTAAACAGGAAAACAGCACTTAATGCAATACTGCCATGGAAGTTTACCTAAAGGGGATGCTGACATAGATTAAGTATTGAAAATAACTATTTCCTATGATTCTAAGAAAAATAAACAAAATTATCCCTCACTTAGTATTAAAAGTTCAAATACTTTCTAATTTTAGGGAGTTACTTTTTTTGGTGTGGCCATATTGTCCAAAGGAACTTGGTTATCTTGTCATTCATGTCATATTTTGGTGTGGTGACTGAGCTTTTGTGCAGGAGTTTATTTTTCTTGATTCCAGTGGTATCAGATAGTCTCAGGATGTGGGTGTGCTGAGTGAGACAAACCTCCCTGTTTCCTCTGATACTGCCTTTGGCTTGGAGCTTCCCCATTCCCCCCAGCTGACAACCCTGATCACCTGCCTCGAGTGTGCAACCCCTCTGTAAGCTCCCTACAGGGGGGTATGCTGTGTTTTCTTGTTATGTTAGATACTGGGAAGTACCACAGAGATATGGTTTCAGAAAAACTGTATTAATCTAAATGTAAAACTTCTTGGGCTTGAACAAGAGTTTAGCAACTGGTTCAGTTTTTGTCAGCGTAGAAACAAGAGATGTATTTAATTGCCCCCTATTCTTGAATTCCTTGAATCTTACTGTATGTTCACATACATTTAAAATAATTCAGCTATTTTAAAAATATTTTTTTAACTTTTCAAATGTTTTCAATCTCTTTGCTTACTTGCTGGTACTTCGGTCCACTTAACATCTTCACCACATGTAACTTTATTTCCATGATTCATTTAAATGAAAACTACATTGGCCAGAAGATATATTATCCAGAAAAGGTATATTTATCCATGTGTAAGTTGTGTACATATGCGTATCTTATACATGTTGAT